CGCGGGCACTACCAACTCGTCCGCGCTCGCCGCGGCCGCGCCCCAAATCGTGAAGAAAGTGGGGGAGCCGCACTCTCGCGATTTTTTAGCTTTTTTTGTATACTCTTTCTGTCGCCTGTTTGGTGGCCTCACGCTCTTGTACAACCTCCAACCCTTTGCCAGAAATATTAGAGAGTTCCATTTTACTACCATGTATAAGGATTATTTTGTCCCACCCCTCCTACTCGAATTCCAGATATGATATTTTTCTTCAAATTCGGTTTGCTAGTACACTAGTCCTGAAAGAAATGTGAAAATAGTGTAGGACTATAGATTTGCACTAGCACGCGGAGATGTCACGGTTCGAAAATGCGCGACAATGGCGCTACGGCCTTCACAAGTGAGCTAATGACGGCTAATGTGAGCTAATGGACGAGATACCTCGCGCACACCCCATGACACGCAACGTGGATTACGACGTAGCGGCTAATTCAAATACGCTTGGGTTACATTAGCCATGGAGCAGCAAGTTCAGATAACTCGTCCAGACACGCCCCCCCTCAGTAAGGGGAAGGAAAGGGAGCACTCGTGCAAGGGTTTCGACGGTGATTTGGCTTTCCTTCTTTCTTGTTTTCGGTCAACTCCGCATCCACACCATTCATTACTGGAAGCTGTCACCCCACCAATTTGGTGGAGGCTGTTGCTTCAAACGCAGCTATTTCGATCATTGGGTCCCTTCATGAAAAGGGGAAATGAGGTAATTGCTAACAAACCTTGCATGAGACAGGTTGCTTCCCCAATGATTTGCAGAAATCGACAAGCTTCTGGTGAGTTTCGTTCGAAGTCTCCGGTGTGCTGACCACTTCCACCAATTTCATCACGGGTACGGGATTGAAGAAGTGCAAGCCAGCGAAACGAGTATGATCACGCATCGATGGCAGCAGGTCGACCAAAGCGAATAGACGACGTGTTTGTGATTAGGAGAGCGTTACTGTAATGAAAACCTATGAAATGAACAGGGCACTGTTCGCTACAAGAGTGCTATGACCTGTAGGTGTCACTGAACGACGTTAGATCTATTGCACGACTGTACCCTCACTACTGAGTTGCCCTCAAAAGTACAAACCAGGATTGGTTTAGATAGACATCTTTTGGTGTGGAAAGAGCTACGCAAAAAGGAAACAGATGACTCTTTTTTTCGACTCCAAGAAGCGCTAAAGCCCCTTACAAAAAGCGCTCAAACCGCTTCTATTTCTTCTCGTCCTCACCATGGCGTTATCGGGCTCTCTCCCATCCGCTGTACTCTCTCGCTCATCCTCTATCCACCGTGCTCAGTCTATCATTGCCCCATCAAGCCTAACCAAATAACTGATAAAACCCTTGGTTCTTGTCGGATTCTCTTCCTTTCTATTTGACTGCCAATCCCCTTCAACCCAGTGCTCCATTTTCTTGTGCTGGAACCACACCGCTTTGGTCACGGGCGTACCTTCAACTCAAATCTCTGAACAAACTTACGATGGGCAATGGTTTTGAGCCTCCGCGAAGACTGCTTCCTTGGCTTCCTTCTTCTCTACAATCGCTTCAATAATGTAGATGGCGTTGGCCACAGCACTCCGAATGTCCGCGCAGAGCGTTAGCTGTCTCATCTGGATGTCGACAGATTGTTCCACCGTGTCCTTGAAAATGATTCCTTCAAAACAATAGGGAGACCTTTCTCAAAGAACAACAACTAGTGGTGGTATGGAGATTTACATCCACGAGAAACTCCTAAAGTAGCTCTTTTCCCTTCAAGATTATCTCGCGATAAAATGTAAAATATTGAGGTTCGAAGGCTGCGGCCATGATAAGATGCATTGGTCCCTACACTTTGTAAATTGGTGGCTTGTTGTTTCGGGCAAGGCCGGCTTTGCCATTGAAAGCATCACCCCAGCAGAAGTTGTGACCAGGAATCACTTCAGTGTGGGATAAAATAGCCCACGAGAAGCACAGATGTGCGGTTGACGCGGCATGAAAGTGCGCGACAATGGCGCTATGGGGTCTTACAAGTCAGCAGTTGGGCGATTAAACT